AGAAGAATTCCCCCAAAATTCATACGACTCACCTCAGTTAAATGAAGAATACTAGATCGTTCTCAACAACTTTAAGGAACAAGATATAAATGAAATAATCGATTCGGTGTATGATAATTTATTCGGGAAGGCGATACTTGAGGGAGGGATAAGTTTGCAAAAAAATGCCAAAAGGGCGATGCACACCTTGAACGACCATTTATCCTATTATTTGGGAAAATTAAAAAGTGTGTATAGCGTGGATGGAAACATTGAGGTGGAACACGTGCAGAGGAGCAATCATACTATTCACACAACCCTGAGGATCATGGAAGAGTATCACAATAGGCTGTTTTTCTACTACGCCATAAAGGATAATTTGCCCGAGTATGATCCTGACTCATTTATAAATGTGCATAGGAAAGCGTTTACATTATTCATAAAGGAGCTAGTTACTATGGAGGAGCTTAAGTTAAATAGATGTGTACTCGAGTCAGGGATACTCATGGTGAGAGCCCACAGATAACCGTTGCGAGAGACCCGCTGGGCGGCAGATACAGAGGTATATGCATATATATGTTGCTAAGAGGAAGAAGCATATATATTCTTGTACCTATATGCTTATATATACAATTATCTGATAAAATCTTCTTTATTGGAAACAGGAGCCAAGTGGATTATACAGCACCGTTTCAGCAATGATCGGTGCCAAAGTGGCATGGTGACTGTATTTTTTGCCATGGAAAAGTATTTAAATATTGGAAGACAAATATATGTGCTGTTTGTATTTTGAAGCAGGCATTGGATTAAATTTATATGTAAATTTTGTCAATTTCCGTTTCTTTAAATCCTGATATGAGACTCATCAACGGATGTTCTAAACTCTGTTAAGGGTTTTTCGTCTTTTTCTAAGCATTTATACATACATGATATGCATAGCTTGCTATTAATAGGATTTTACGATTACAGATGTTGAAATTATTCAAGAGAAATTCTTTATTCTACTCCTTAATTGTGGTAAGGAGTTAGAAAATTCATTTTCTTACGTGGTGGCATGTTCCATTACGTCTATAAAATAGGTGATTAGAATGGAAGTGATGTTTTGAGACTGTATAATACCAGTGAGAGTTCCCTGAATTCTAAGGTAAATGTAGAAGGAGTAAGACAAATGAAATCAATGTAGACATATAAATTAGTCATACTAGCCTAACGTCAGATGTCAATAATGGTATTACGCTTCATCCTTTTTGGTTAAATTTAGCATAATGTTTATATAATATGTTTTCAACTCGTACGAATCGGATTGATTGTTTCATTATTCCTATATATTCTATTAGAAATGGCTGCAAGGAAAGATTTTTACATGGAGACAGGTCCAGAAAGAATTGTTAACAGACACGGAGGTCGCAATGACAGGAAGATCATTACAGTTTGGATTATACTATTCAGAAAAAAAAAAGAACGGAAAGGACATTTATGGAGTGACCATTTCTTCGCTGAAATAGAACTATAACATGTTTACATTATGAACAAAAAAAGAAAGGAAAAAAATGCGAACTGTCCATGATAGTAGAATTTGGTCGAAACAGTCGCTCGTTCTGTTCTGCAATAGCACCTATCGATAGTACATATATTTAATACGTTCTTTTAAATCTTCCAGATTTAAATTAGAAGTCACGCGGATACTGTTGATTATAAATCAATGAAAGAAGATGGGTAATATAAAGAGGGAACGTCCTTCTTGTTGGTACTGTACCATACATAATAGGAGGGAAGTACAATTTTATCTTGA